GTTTCCATTTTACCTGAGAGTAAGTCTGATATATCTAGGATGGAAAATATCCTTTCTAATAGGTTGTCTTGTATCCCTAAGTTTCTCTAATTGGATGATGGGGCTTGGAAGTAGGTGATGGAGGGCGATTCAGTTAATCTCACCACTCTGCACTTAGGTTATCAGTGCCAGTGCTAGGATATTAAGTTGGCTGGACCATGATCTGAAAATGTTATTATTGAACGTTCTAGACAGTCTAAAGATTAGAGGGGAGAAAAGCTATAGAGAAAGGAAAGTATAGATTGAGTTACAAAGAAGACAGGGCTTGCATTGTAAATTCCATCTCTTTCTTAGTGCCTTAAAAATGTTCACTCACTAGCAACTTTTTTTTTTTTTTGTCTGTACTGCTTTCTCCACACCACCGCGGAGATGCAAGGAGGCATCCTAGAGGAGCCTATCTGGAATGCATTCATACAATGTACAAAGTGCCATACATCAAATGTCAAAGGCGTAGAGCAAATGGTCGAATATTACCGAAGTTCAGAAAAGGAAGTAAACATAGAAGTCAAGGGAGTGAGTGAGAGGGTTGGTCTTTAAAGGTAAAGCTGGGATAAAATGAGGAGGTATTAAGGAAATTAGTTTAAGGTCTAGTGGCAGGAAAACACTTCCACACAAAATTATTAAGCAGTTAATATGTCTTTTCATTTGTCATTTACTGCCTTTCCAGCGAATGCAATGATATGAAACAAGTATGACTCAATCTCTGCCTCAAGGAGTTTAAACTAGATGAGAGACAAGACAAAGAAACATACATGTAGCCAGTAGAGAACAGACAGGCCATGAAAAAGTGCCAGTTCATGGTTCAGCCATAAATTCGGACAAGAGCAATTCTGCATAGGGCATGAGTAGAATACAGGCGTTGGAGTAAGACAGATCTCGGTTCCAAACTCAGATGTGTGCCACAAAATAGCTGTGAGACCTTGTGCAAGTCTTACAACCCTAGTCTATGCTATTTTCTATAAAAATGGCTCTGGTAACGTCCAACAAGTCTTTCAGTTGTGAGGATGAAATCATTGTGGTGATTTGACAAAGAGCTTGACAGGGGTGTCTTAAGTTTCTACCCTTTCCCCCGTCTCATCGCACCTTTTTCCTTCAGTAGGAGATGTTTGGTGTGATACGAGCAGAAGGGAAGGATGAAGGGAGGCAACTTCCTCCCCGCCCTTCACCCCCTCCTTGCCGCCCCAGCTCCCGACCTCAGGTTCCGGGAGTCACTGTGGAAGTGGGCTGAGGGCACAGAAATGGGGAGGGAAGATCTGCTAACTGTAAACACAGACGCCATCAAGAGTTCAGATCCCCTCTAGCCACCGGATTTCCGTGCCACAATGAAGCCACCCCACCCATACGCCTGCTCTCAGTTTCCCAAGCTGTGTAATGGGGATACACCATCTCCTTTTCTCCCGGGTATCCACCTGACCTAACAGCGTCTAAAAGGGGAAAAGGAGCCCCAAGTTGTTGGCCTCCAGCCCCATCAGGTCCTCCTCCCACTTTGGCTTTGGCCTTTTGTACCGGCCCCACGTGACCCGCCCGGCCGGCTCTTCCCTCCTGCCCCGCCCCGCCCTCCGGCCTTTCCCGGCTCCCGGCCCAGCTCTTCCCGCTCCTCAACCGCCCCCCTCCCGCGATCCTTCGCCCTCCCTCTCCCCCTAGCCTCCCTCCTAGGCTGTTCCTGCTCCCTCCCCCAGGCAGCCGTTCCCTCGCGATTCTTCCCCTCCCCCCGCGGCTGTTCCACCGCCTCGCCTCCCCTCCCCCCGGCCAGAGCTCACTGTCTCCAAGATGGCGGCCGTGTCAGTTTGGGGCATCTCCGCTGTCCGGCCCGGGGCCCCGGGGTCCCGGCTCTCTTCGCCCCCGGTAAGTAGCCGAGTGCCCACCCCCG